CTGCAGTTCTTTCTAATCGTACCAGGCGTTTAAGGCATCACAAGATCAGAGAGGTACTGATAATGAAGCCCCTTCAAATTTCAAAATCCAAAGCACAAACTAACAGAAATTTACACGATGGGAGCAGCATTAGAAAAGCATATTTAAATACAGTACATTTTTAATGAAAAGCTACAGAATAAACCCCCAAGTCTTGACTGGTCAAATTATGATGTCATGAAAATCCTTAAGGTTAAGACAAATTATGTAAAACAGGGTGGGTCCTCCCTTTTGGCTGCAGAAACATAACTTTTTATGGAGGGAACTGGTGGGCCAGATGAAATGGAGGGGGGGTGTGGTGGGCGCGGATGATCTTGGCCCACAGGCCTGATGAGGCCCATGGGCCGGTAGTTGGACCACCCTGATGTAAAACATAAAAGTTACAAATTAATTGTGACTGGAAGTCAGATAAAAGCTACTGAGATGAGAATCGGGTACAATGGGAAAGCAAAAAGCCACATCATAGACATCAAGAAAGTGTTTTATGTATGGAACAGACGGACTGCTGGAAATCAGTCAAAATACCAAGGGAGTCTTTGAATAAGAAATGTGCTATATTAACTCATCACTATCAATCTTCAAATATGACAACTTTGGACAAGTTCCAAACTCAATTAAACTGACTAAAGAATGCATAGTTTATTATGTTATATTAAAGGATTGAATATCTACACAGCAGGAATACATCTAAAATTTCAGGGAGTTAGATGAAGCTATTTTTAGGGTCTAGAAGAAATGCAGAACTGTACATGTAAACTTTGAGTTCTGCTGATTATTACACCGCTGTTCAAAATTGGAGTAAAGGGTGGATCTGTGAATTATGCACATATAAAAAAGTGAGAAAAAAATCTTCCTTGCAAAGATGTTTATGGGATGCCCGGAATTTACATCCAAAAAACAGGAAAGTTACAAGGTGTAGTAAACATGAAATTGGAAGAATTAGGTTATGTCTTATAAATCTACCAGAATTCTTTCAGGATATGTAAATCAGCACTCAAGCTATCCCGTAAAGATGACACTCAGGAATTAATGGTGTATTAACTGAATAGAGCAAAAATGGTTCAGCAGTCGGAAGCAGAAGACAATAACAAACGAAATAGCTCTCTCTGCAGAAATGTGGCCAGTGCAGGCGTGTGTCGTTCTGACTGCACTGTGGTCACATTACTCAGAAATGAGCTAAAGAAAAATACTTCTACAATTTTTGGGTAGCACCAAGTTGTGTGTTTTGGCTACAATACAAATTACATTTATATAGCGCTTTTCACATTGGGAGGATGTCCCAAAGCACTTAATAACATTGGCTGGCACCCAAGCTGGCAATGATGAGTATAGATTGGTAGGATTTAAAGGAACTAGGAGAAATACTATGAGTGGCTGAGAAAGAGTAGACAGATTTTAATGTGCTGAAGTGTAGTGTAATGCACATTGATGCATGAAACTCGTGGATTCCAAGGAGGTGCGGTGTCAAAATTTGCGGCTGACAACAAACTAGGGGTATGGTAAACAGGGAAGGGAATTGCAGAAGAATGCAAGAAGACATAAACAGGCTAGGGGAATGGGCAGACAGATGACAAATGAAATTTAAGGTAGAAAAATATGAGGCAATTCAATTCAGCAGGAAAAATAATGAAGTCATCAATAGATAGATGGTAGGAACTTAAGGAGAGTAGAGGAGCAAAGAGATCTAGGGACTCAGCTCCACAAATCTCTAAAAGTAGACAACAACAACTTGCATTTATATAGCACCTTTCATGCCAGATGGCATCTCTTAGAGCTTACAAACAGATACATAAGGGCATAAAAATGGCCAATGGGGTCTTGGGCTTTTTATAAGAACATAAGAAATGCTGGACAAAAAAAGACCAAGGTCCATCTAGATTGTGTTCCACCTTCCCATCGGTTGCATGCACATATGTCCCAAACTACCTATGTACTATATCCCCTAATGTTATTTCCTAAAAGAAAACTATCTAATCAGTATTTGAAAGAATCAACGCTTCTTGCTTCAAACATCTCCCTAGGGAGCCTGTTCCACAGGTTCACTATTCGCTCACTGAAATAATGTTTGCGTAGATTTGTTCTGAATTTACCCCCCTTCAATCAAAGGTCGTTTCCTCTGGTTTTACTATTTACTGGAATATAAACGTGAGGAGGTGATGTTGAATTTATAAAAAAACCTTGGTTATACCACATTTTGAGTATTATATGCACTTCCAGTCTCCACACTATAAGAAGGTTATAGCAGCGATGAAACCTTTGCTTCAGTACACCAAGATTTCCACAGTGCTTCTCCGATCTGGAATATGTGAATTCTGGTGTACCACATTTCAGAAGGATAGCTGAGAAAGACTTGATAAAATAAGGCTCTTCAGTCTTGCAAAGAAATGTCCTAGAGGGTAGGGTACCTTATATAGGTAAATAAGATTCTAAATGGGATTGAGATAATACGCTCAGAATACTACTTTCAGATAAGCCAGAGCAGTAGGACAAGAGGTCACAGGTTCAGAATTTTTAGGATACTTAATTTTTAAGTATTTCTTTGCTCAGAAGGCAATTAAATTGCTGGAACTAGTGAGGGTGGTTGAAGCCATGTTGTTGGCTTCATTTAAGTTGCTGTAATAGGGAGATAGTAGGGTGGACAATGGGAAAGATGAGATCAAATGGGACGAAGGGGCTTCATTATTAGTACCTCTCTGATCTTGTGATGCCTTAAACGTCTGGCATGACTAGAAAGAACTGCAGTATACAATAGCTTTAAACATGCAGGTGATGTTAAGACTGAAAGATAAATTTTAATTTCAAACCATCTGATATTGAGTTATCATTTTCAGAATGATGGTAATTAAGTCTAATTCATATGCATAAGTTTGAATAGTTGGACAATACATTGAACAGTCGAACTGAAATGACATGTTCCATTGTTGCAAAACTTCAAAGTTATATTTGTGATTCTATTACAGTGTGTTAATAAGTATAAAAACTGTGCTTACCACAGCATCACCACCTGTTCTCTTTAGGTCCATACTTTAAATTTAAGATGTCGGTGCACCCCAATCACTCCTGCTTTTGCATTGGATGATATGGCATGTTTTATATTGTAAAATAAAATAAATCACTCTAAATAAACAGAATTTGCATGTGTAAATTTGATTGATTGTTGGATATGCTTGTCTCTTTAGTCAATAAATATTTGTATGCATATAACAAACTTAAAACAATAAAATTTACTAATAATCTTTTTATTTGAGATTGTGCCTTTCATGTCAGGAGGATGTCTCAAAGGGCTTCACTGTAAAGTGGAGTGACTGGAAGAATTAATCATATTATGAAAAACAACCCAATAATCTCTTATTTTTTACAAATGCTTGACAGGTGTTATCGCATCACCATGTTGCTTTAAGTTAAATGATGTTTAAGTTATCCAGTTAATAAGTTTGCCCCTGTGTCTGTAATTATATTTGATAGAGGCTTTGAATTTTTTAATGATAATCTGTATATGTGAATTTGAATTGAATTTACCAAACTGCTTTTTGGTAAAAGCTGTCTGTAGTATACATCAGTAAACAAGGTGTGTTTACCTTGAAAAAAGTATACAGCATTCTCTGTATAACATGTTTTCATGAATCACACAACAAAGGGGCATATTTAGGGAATCTATCATATAACTTGCCATGAAAATGGCAACCTTTTTGGTTTATGTTTAAAATGGAAAATCTCATCATTACCATTCAATTGAAATGATTGCCCTTTCCAGTAATCAGTAATTTGGCAGATTCCATAGAAAAGGCATGAGTGAATGTATTCTTACTAAGAGAAGCATGACCAATGTATTACACCTGGGCCCTCGGCATACCAAGCAAGGTGAAACAATGCTGCGCTCTCATTATTTTTACACAAACTAATCAACTGCTGTAGGAGGTCATTGCTCATGTACCTATAACATCATACATAGCAAAACGACTACTGATCAGATTTTAATCTAAAATGCCATGGATTTTTACAGTGCACAAAATACCCATCAGAAAATGTATTTGTCACGTGAAACACACTCAAACAAACACTTCAGAAGGCACCAGGAGATGTAATAACTGTTTAAAAAGAAATCTTCGATGATTTTCCCCATCAGGAAAATTAAATTAAAGCATGATTACAAATGGACAAAAATTTGTGGTTTAGTGCAGCATAAACATATTACAAACAGCAGATGCATTTTTCTGCCTAGTAATACTGTGAACAGACAGTGACAACCAGATACCTCATGGTAACAACAATTCAGCCACTTGTTGCTGGAAGCTAATTTAAGCCAGGCAAATCAATTTAACTCTGTAACTGACACTTTCCAGACACGATGGTCAGAATACATCTTAAGCTTTATATATGCTCAGACTGCTGCAACTCTGGCGTAGTACACTGAGAATACATTTACAGCAGTACCTGTCGTTATTCAATTCAGTTCAGAACTGATTTTGGAGAGTCCAGTAGTTATTTGACACTAATGTATGAGCTTGTATTGAGTGTGTAGTCTCTGCGATATCAAATAAGAATGTATAGTTATTAAACTAATGAGCTGATTAAGTTGAACAGCACTAAGGCATGACAATTGCCTTCAGGGCATAGGTGTAAGAAATAAAAATGAGACATTTCATTGCTACCTACTGACCCCTGCTGGGTAGTGCAAACACTAGACATTCGATGATGATGAGGTATTGAGCTTAATTGTATTGTCCCACTAACACTTACTGTCAAGGTTCATGCATGAATAATGGTCACTTGGATGAGGTATGTAAGGAAACATAGCACCCAGGGGTTTATTGGAAGGAAACTGAGTTAAAAACAGTCAGCAGAAGAGAGGACACAAACGATTGTGAGGAAAATTCACCCCACAATTATATTAATCTACCAAGATACTCAATGGAGTCCAAATAAGTATATAATATCCTCTATATATAATCTAGTATTACCTTTAGCTCATCTGCCTCTATGAAGCCACTATGATCAGCATCAAATATTCGCCAAGTCTGAAAAAGAAAATGTTTTATATTTACTTTTTGCTTCATGTAGCTACTTATTGGGAATCAGTTGCTTACAAATTAATTTAACGGTTACATCCATTTAAACTCTTCATGCGACTAAGAAACAATTTTACATTTGAATTACAATAATATTGATGATTGGTTAATACAAATATTTATTGTTTCTATAGTTTTCCAATATATGAACCACAAATTGTTACTGCCATGACAATTGTGTCAACAACAACAATTTGTATTTATATAGTTCTTTTCACACAGGATAGTGTCTCAGTGTGCTGAAATCAAGTTGTGTTCTGTGACATGCTATATTACTGAATGTTTGGTGGTCATCAATACTATATTGAAGGTAGCTGCCTTGATAAGATTTCAAAAATCCATAGACGTAGAAAGTTGGGAGAATAATTTACCTACATGCATTTTCTACAGCCAGAAGATACAGTAACTCATATCAATCAGTACAGTGTGAAAAGAACAATGTTGTTCAATTTATGCCAGATTCACTCTAAATTCTCGTGTATAAGTAGCACCTTCATGCATGTTTCAAGTGGGCTAATACTGGTGACTTCTATGGAGATATGACTTATATTTATCAGAATTTATGCAACGTTTGATGCTTTTCCTGCATCATCATTTTTAACATCCATTACCCCATTCAATAGTTTTCCATGTCAACAGCACAAAAAGCTAAAGTGTAAAATACACAAAGGATACTAGATGTGATCTAAAGGTGATTTTACAAGGAAAGTCTTAGGCACCTCAGATAACACGCTAACATATTGTGGCATGGAGTAGAAGTAGAAACACCATGAATAATGCAACATAAATCATGCAAAAGGAACCCATTCATTTAAGGACTTTTAAAACTTGATCCATAACAAACCTGAAAATTCAATATTCTTTTTCAGAAGTATTTAAATTATTGGCAAAGCAAACAATAAAGGAAGATACCTCCATGAACTCTGCACTGGACTTTAATTGTTGCCGAAAGAATAAGAAGAAGTTCTCTTCTGTTGGTAGAATCTGAGCAAGCTAGAAAAATAACACATGGAATGAATATTAGAATTCCAAATTCATCCATTGACCTACTTACATTAACAATTTTTAAACTATTTAAGTTGACAAAATTATTTTCACTATTGTATTCACCATAATATTTTGATGCACTCTTGTTGTATTTAATAATTGCTAACTAATTATTCAACTTTAACTTTCAACCATTCCTGCATTTCAACTACTTCTGCATCAATCATATCTGTGTATCTCTTGAGCATTTTATCTTGTTCGCTTCGCCTTAGAACCTAACATATCTGTGTCCATCGCTGCCAGTGATTGTGAGAGCAAATATAAGATTTTTAGTTTCAAAATATCAAACACTGCCACTTCCAGGTTAGGAATTTTATAGTTCAGCAAGCTAAACCTGCAAAATTAGTACAAATTATCTAGAGAATAGCATTCTCCGAGTGTATAATATTAATTATTTCCCACATGTCCCATGTTTCATGCTAAGAATGCTTATAGCCATTCAATTTCAGATTGAGATGTAATACAAAGCTCTGTGTTGTCCTGACAACACATCTTAGCAGCAAACTTCAGAACAGACCCTTTGGTGTAGCAGCAGGACACTTCCATTTTCTAAAATTGCCTTTTAGCAGCAGTAGCTAAATACGCACCATTTGAGGGAAGTTTGGAGGAGCAAGGGGAGAGATTGGAGTAGTAGCAGATTGGAGCTAGCAGCAGTAGCTAAATACGCACCATTTGAGGGAAGTTTGTAGGAGCAAGAGGAGAGGTTGGAGAATTTTCCCTTTACACATAGGATTCAGCCTGAGGGACAACCATCGAAAGAGCCACAAATAAAAACAGAAGCTCCAACGGGGCTGTGAATGATCTCAGCCTCTAACCCCATTCACATGTTTTTTTGGTGACCACCCTAAACCTGAGATCCTCATCTCCCATCTTTTACCTTTCTCTGTCATGCTCCACCACTGTCAAGCACTCTGAGACGCTACATAAATGCAAGTTCTTGTTGTTCTCCAATTTTACTCGTTTTTCTTTTTCCTTATTCTCTTTTGTGTTATTCTTTTGACTTCTTCCTCAACTTTACTCATTGCTTGTGAGATATTGTTGGCACATATTAGCTGGTGAGTTTTGCCAACATTCAATATTATAAATAGAAATTTTGTTATTTATTTTCAGATCATCATCCCATTCTTTCATTGTATTATTAATTTTCAGTCCAATTTACCTTGTGATTCAAGTAAGCATAAAAAGATCCTTTTTTAAAGAAATAATAATAATCCTTGCGCTTTTCACATCTTCTAGACTTCTCAAAGTGCTTCACAGAATATACTATAAACAACAACTTGCACTTATAAAGCAGCCTATAACTGTGGTGGAGCCTGACACTGAGCCGGTGGGTGGGGGGGGGGGGGGGCAGGGGTGTGTGGAGGTGGCCGTTAAGCACGGTCGAAGAGGAAGGTTTTCAGGCGGGACTTGAAAAGGGGGAGAAAAGGGGCACAGCTGAGGGATTGAGGGAGAGTGTTCCAGAGTTTTGGGGCATAGGGGCTGAAAGTGCAACCTCCGGCAGTGGGTTGGAGGGTGCAAAGAGCGAGCAAGAGGCCAGTGCCAGTCGAAGGGAGGCGTCAGGTGGTGGATTGCGTGGATTTAGTGAAGATGTCTGAGAGGTAGAGAGGTACCAGGGAGTGAATGGATTTGAACACGAGTGTGAGGATCTTGAAGTCAATCCGTTCAGTGATGGGGAGCCTGTGGAGCCTGGCCAGAACTGGTGAGATGTGGATACAGAGTTTGGTCTGGGTCAGCATGCGGAGTTCTGAATGAGCTGGATCTTCTGAATGGTGGAGCTGGGCAGATCAGCGAGTAGTGCGTTTGAGTAATCCAAGCAGGAGGTGACACACGCATTATGAGGTTTTCGACTGCATTTGGGGTAAGGTACAGTCGGAGTCAAGCAATTTGGCAGAAGTAGAAGAAGGTGGTCCTGGTCAGGGACTGAATGTGGTTGACGAAGGACAGCTGGGGGTTGAACCAGATGCCCAGATTGCACAGTGGTTCGTTGAGTCTGAGGGAGAGCCCAGGGAGGCTGAGGAGTTAAGTGAATTTACTGTATATTTGTGGGCAAAATGCAATACCCAATTGCTCACAGCAGTGTCCCACAAACTGTCACAGATTGAGTGACCAAATTATTATTATTTTTTTTTCTTGAGGGATTATTATCGGACATGTGGAGTAAGGAAACTTGTCCAAGGTTTCGCCCTGCCAGAAATCGAACCCAGGTCTCTCGTTTGCAAGGTGAGTGCTTAACCACTGAGCTACAGGACTCCTAAGTAAGAAATGGCTTACATTCACCATCTCATTGCAATGTACCCAAATTCATATCAAGTGTCTACTGATCTCATTGTTATTACAGGATATTGCTGCCGCAAGTTAGCTGCTTGCTTATACAACTACTTTCACAATGTTTCTTTTCAATATTTTGTAAAGCGCTTAGATGGCAATGTAACAGTTTTCTAACACTGCTCTGGAGAGTGAGCAGGCACTATACAATCAAGTACCAATGTGGGGTTTGAATCCACAGCATTCTAACAAAGAGACAAAAATGCTTTCGACTAAACCAAGCTAGAACCGAGCAACAATAGAGTATCTGGAATCATTTCTTTAAAATCTTAATCCATAGACCAAAGATTCTTTCATCAAAAATCGATTGCAGATAAGTAACAATCTAACTCCCAATAGAAAGTCTTCATATATGGTGCATCCAGTTTTGCGTCAAAAAAACTGACAAATGCTTCAATAAACATTGAATATTTTATAATTAGTTTTATGATCCATTAATATTTTAATACACTTGCATTAAATCTTTAAGGAATTGACTATAACATTACAGAGGGAAGAGTTCTAAAATGTTGCTTGTTCAGCAGTGGGCAAATCAGTCCTGTTTTATAATTAAATCATGATTTAATTATTTTGATGAGGATTAGGATTTCAAAAAGAATTCAACAATTAGGACTTCAGGTGAAAGGGAAAAAAAGTTCTATCGATATGACTGTGCACCAATAATTATTTTTGGATATTTTCTACCACATCATTAATTTTGTTGTGTTTTTGTACACTTTTCCCACTTTTCCCATTACCATTCACCATCTGAAAACACAGGCAATCTCTCTCAATACCTCTTTGTGCACTGCCATTGAATGAGAATATGCTGAGATGACTCACACTTCACTTCTCCCTCCCTCTCGGTAGGTAGATGCTCAAATTCAATGCTATAGTTGATGGTACGGTTCAAGTCAGAAATGTAACATGACTCACCTAACTAAAGTGAATGTTTTTTGAAATTCTGAAAGATTTGAGACATTTAATCTAGCTAAATTGTTCACTTAACTCTTGGATGAGTTGAAGCAACAAGGAAGGGAAATCAGGCAGAACTATTTTTCACATGCTTTATTAATAGAATAGTTATGGGGGGTTGCACTGAAGTAAACAGTGTAAACAGGTTCAAAAGGCAAGAAGATGTTTCTGGAGGGCAAAGAGAGTGCAATGGTAAATAATAATAATAACCCTTGCATTTGATTTAGCATCTTATCTTAGAGACATCTCAAAGCGCTTCACAGAATATACTGTAAAATGAACTGACAGTATATGTGGGCAAAACGTGGCAGCCAACTGTACACAGCAGGGTCCCACAAACGGTCGTGGATTGAGTGACCAAATTATTATTTTATTTTGAAGGGATTACTATCCCCAGAAAAGCGATCCGCCAATCGACTAACAACTGGGTTCCTTCTTACTGCTAGGTAAATAGAGGTAATATGGAGTAAGGAAACTTGCCCAATGTTTTGCCCTGCCTGGGAATGAAATCCAGGTTCTTTCGCTTGCGAGGCGAGTGCTCTAAGCTACAGGACTCCACAAGCTATAAGACTCCATGGGCTTGATCAATCAAACAGCTGATGGCCTTGTTGGGCCAAATGGCCTCTTTGGGTCCTTAAAAATACTTGAGGTCCAAATTGTGGTAATGTGATATAATACCACTGATAACAATTATCACATTGGGGAACACTGCTACTGGAGTAGTCATATTCCATAACTGATGCAGCGGTAACCCCCCAATTCATTCAAGCAGTTTCACTCAATAGTGGCTTGCGCCATATTGAGCTGACTGGAGGCACTCATTTTGCTGCACAGGTTCCTGCATTTCAGTGCTGGTTTGGGGAAATGCCGGCTTGGGTCAACTTTAAAAATCGATGTGATAACTAGTTCTTAGCAAGATAATTATCACAACGCACCACACACTTTCTACTTTCTTATGTATTTAATCTATTTTCTATTTTTCCACCTTGCTTTGCGACCCCCAGTCCCCTGATGTTCTGTCAGCCTGCCTGTCAGATCTCAGGAGCTGGATGAGCGCAAATTTCCTTCAGCTGAACGTTGACAAGACGGAAGCCATACTCTTTGGCTCTTGTCAACGTCTAAAATCTCACGGCTCTCCCCTCCTCCACCTACCCAACCTTCCCCTAAAACTCTCTGAATCCGTACGCAACCTAGGCGTCAGGTTCGACCCCCAATTATCCTTTCTCCCCCTCATCTGGTCCCTCACCAGCACCGCCTTCTTCCACCTCTGATGCATTGCCAGTCTCCACCAATACCTCTCTCCAAAAGCCGCTGAAACCCTAGTCAATGCCTTTGTCGCATCTCGGCTGGACTATTCTAATGCCTTCCTCGTCGGTCTCCCATCCATTACCATCCATAAAATCCAGATCATTCAAAACTCTGCCGCCCGCATTCTCACCCGCACCAAACTCCACTCCCCGATCACCCCAGTCCTTGCCAGACTGCACTGGCTGCCTATCCCAGAGAGGATCGACTTCAAGATCCTCACCTTTGTATTCAAATCCCTCCACTCATCTGCAACCCCCTACCTCTCTGACCTCCTCTCTCCTCAAAACAGTACCAGTTGCCTTCATTCCTCTGGGTCTGGCCTACTCCTCGTCTCCCGAGTCCTCCTCTGCATCCTCAGCGGTCATGCCTTCAGCCACTATGCCCTGAGGCTCTGGAATTCCCTTCCTCACTCCCTTCACCTCACCTCCTCTCTTCCTATTTTCAGGTCCCTGCTGAAGACTTTTCTTTTCGACTGCGCCTTCCTCCCCATTACCCTTGGCTCGGTCCCGCGATCCGTTACTATGAAGCGCTCTGAGACGCCATCCGGGGTGGAGAGCGCTATATAAATCCAAGTTGTTGTTGTTGTTAATGAATTACAAGCATAAACCAATACCTAACACCACCATAATAATCCTTCCAAATGAAGGTTATCGAATCAAAATATCTCAAAATGTTTCACAGTATCGCCTCCACTGGCTCCCCATCCCCCAGAGGATCGAATTCAAGATCCTCATCCTCAGCTACAAGGCCATTCACAGCCTTGCACCCTCCTACCTCTCCGACCTACTATCCCCCCATATACCTGTCCGTACCCTCCGTTCCTCTGGCCCCGGTCTGCTCCACATCCCCCGCCCTAATCGTCCTACCATCGGTGGCCGGGCTTTCAGCATCTCAGCCCCGAGGCTCTGGAACTCTATCCCCCAGTGCCTTCGCCGCCTCCTCCCTTTCCTCCTTCAAGGCCGGTCTCAAGACCTTTCTCTTCAACCATGCCTTCAGCTCCCCTCTCGACTCTCTACCCCCTCCTCGCTCCCTCCCTTCCCTCACCTTGACCATTTCCCCCCTGCTCAAGTCCCGACCCAACTGTCCAGCGCCTTGGGACATCCTCCCGACATGAAAAGCGCTCTAAAAAATCCAATCTTGTTGTTGTTGTTGTTGTTGATAGCTTATTTGTATGGGAACATAGCAGCCAATTTACACACAGTGATTTTCCTCAAACAACCAGAAATTGTGGAGTCCTGTAGCTCAGTGGTTAGAGCACTCGCTTTGCAAGTGAGAGACCTGAGTTCAATTCCAGGCAGTACGGAACCTTGGGCAAGTTTCCTTACTCCACACAGAGCCTAATAATAATCCCTCCAAAACTAAAAACAATAATTAAATTGGTCATTTTCAATCTACGACTGTTTGTGGGACATTGCTGTGCGCAATTGGCTGCCGCGTTCGCCCACAAATATACAGTCAATTCACTTTACAGTGTGTTCTGTGAAGCGCTTTGGGATGTCCTCCCAACGTGAAAAGCGCTATATCAAATGCAAGGATTATTATTATTATTATTATTATTATTGACTGACCAATATTATTTGGGCAATTTGTTGGCCAGGACACTGGAAGAAATTCCCTTTATTTTCTTCTCATCTGAAAAACAGCACTTCTACCATTGTAGCTCCTAAAACTTTACAAGAGTCAGCATGGACCATGAATTGAACCATATATAAGCATTGGAAAAGCTTGTAGTGTGCAGCAAAATGTCAATAAAATGTTTGCTATGATTGTTATTTATACTGAGTTCAGTTATGCAATCAAGACGACCTGAAATTGAGAATAGAAATGTAATTATAGAAATCAGAAGAGACTAGAATTGTTATTTAAATGTTTATCTAAGCTCGAGAATAGGGGATATGCAATGACAAATGCAATAGTTGGATAGGGAGTTAAGAATATCTACCCAACATTGCTCTTCATCATTGTAAATGCTTTGTACCCAACATTGTTTAGATGTAGGTAACTCATACAGAAATTGGCACTAATAACATTCAATCCAACTTGGTAAAAACACCTAAAGAAAACTCTCTTTTGTGTTATGATAATAAAATGGTCACGACCTGTATAGTTTACTTCTAATGCTAGATATATTAAAAAAAAGCTGTGAGGTGCAGTTCCGATGAAGAATCACACTCCAGACAACCTGCTTTTTTCCTTTTCAGGTGCAGACTACTGTGGATTTCCAGTATTTTCTGTTTTGTTTCAACTTCTAATGTTACTCTATAACAAATTATTTGAACAAAAAAATCAAACATCCTCCAAATGTATTTACTATTAACATTTCAACAAAAATCTGTATGAGAGTAAAACCAAATTGGTGGTGCTTACATCTGCCATCTCTATTTTTCCATCAGCACTCTGATCGTATTTCTCCACCAAAGCTTTCATCCCGTCAGATAATTCCTACAAATTGATAATGCGCATTAGTTTGTTTTTATCTGCATTCTTCGAAATATACAATACACAGCTATACTAAAATGCTATATCTTCATTAACAAATATGAGTGGGTACATTGAATGCAAATCTTCAATTCAGTGCTTCACCTAGTTAAACAACAGCAATGTGCTTCCTCCTGGTGTGAAAGGCAATTTGTTGTTGTTGCTATACAACGTTCTCCTTAGATGTTAAATAAATGGAGAACTCAAGATAATTGACAGAAACTGCTTGAATCAGTTAATCTGTTAGTAACTCAGTCCACCTCAGGAGGCTTTGGTGTAAATATATTCAACAGTTTTTTTTAGATGAAGCTACCAATTATCCTAATTAATTAATTAATAGAAACAGCTTCACTCATTTGTCAATGAAGTTAGTTTCCAGTCAGTTGTCATATCGAGAACTTTGCGTGTCCAACGGGCACCTGTAACCCTGGTGTGAGGAGTGACATTCCCCATCCCATAACATGTAGATTTCACAATGAAATGAATCGGCAGGATTTTTAAAAGAACCCAACCAAAGAGTGATGCTGCCAAGCACAGTGTGATTTGAGCTGAGCAGCGAGAGACCTTCTCCTTCAAGCCCAAGTGGGGAGGGAAAATATATGACACATCAGGGCAGAATCTGAAACTCCACACAGAACATCGTGGCAATGACAGCCTACATACAACCCACAGCCTTTTTATTCCTGTCGCTTTCATTGAAAACACATCTGTAGTCAAGGAAACAGTGGTGCACTAAGCCTCCTGTTTGTTTGCTATACTGGTGGCTACAGTTTTGCTGGTGATACCGATCTGTTGACGTTTGTTGGATGATCCACAGACATATTACTTGACTGGACAAGTGCAACGATCTTTTAAGTGCACTGATATTTATTTTGCTGTATTTCCCCGGTGTCTGTCTCATGTCTCAAGCATGGCTCCTGTGCTTTGCTCTCTCCAGTCCTCTAGTTTAATTGTCACTCTTTGGTAAGGGAACAAGTTCGCTGGTGTGTGTGTGTGGGGGGGTAAGATCGCTCGGATTACGAAACCTCCAACACATTAACATTGGTGGGTAAAGTATCGGATCTCGCCTGCCGTGGCTCGGTGTAACCTGACAGTGTGTACAGCTGGAGCTCCCTCACACTGTCCCTAACTTTACCTTCTTGCTGAAACTCGCCAGGTTTGGTTTGTAACTGTTGAACACAACCACTGACCGACATGAAAAGCGCAGCGATTCCCCCCGGGCGTGAAAACCAGCAACTCATCGGGTAAGCACAGCCCCCCCCACCCACCCACCCACACACACACACCCCCACCCACCCACACACACCCACCCACACACACCCACACACACACACCCACACACACACACACCCACACACCCACCCCCACACACACCCACCCACACACACCCACACACACACACACACACCCACACACCCACCCACACCCCCCCCCACACCCCCACACACACCCACACACACACACACACCCACACACACCCACACACACACACACCCCCACACACACACCCACACACACACACACACACCCGCACACACAGCTGCACCTGACCATCATCCTATCGAGTGGATGTTGATCTATTTTATCCATCGAGTGTGTATGGGTTCCGATGTATGTTCTACAGGTGACTGTTCCCTCCGAGTGTCAGTGCCGACTTCAGCCTCGGAAACATCGTGTCAGCATTAAGAGTGATTCAGCTGCGCGGACACTGGGTGTGAAATAAATCGCTCCGGGGGTGGTGGGGGGGGGGGGGGGGAGAGAAAGGTTTAGTCGGTGACTTTTGCTCCGAACTGGAGCAGATTTCACGCCCAGTTAACTGAGACGGGTTAAAGAGGCGCAGCGCCTCCGGGTGTGTTCAGTGCGCGCTCTCCTGGACTGACTGCCCCGGAGCCCAGCGGAAAGGAAGCCGGTATTTTAAAGTATATATATATATATATATAAAAGGCTTCCAGGGAATGAAGACATAAGGAAAAGCGCTGTCTCCCAAAGCAATTATCAGAGAGAGTTGCAATGCTCTCTACCCGCCGCGCCTTTGGGAGACTGACAGATACAGATGGAGCTGTTCTGGGGGTTCGCGTCCAGTGAAAAAAACACAGTCTCCGGGACCGGGGAAGCTGAGGGGTATCCCACAGTCAGTCCTCATACATCAACAGCATCGTCGGGATGCGATAGCCTTTGCTGATTTTAATTCTGCATATACACAGACACAAATACACACACACATTGTACCATATACACACACACACACACACACACATATACCACACACACACACACATATACCATACACACACACACATACACACACACATACCATACACACACAGACACACACACATACCATACACACACAGACACATATACACACACATATACACACACGCACACACACACAGACACACACCTCGCTGCACACTGACCCGGAGCTGTCAGTAAGTTAGTGTAACTCACCGAGCCGGTGGCTTTCCGAGCTTGCTGAAGTTCGCGAATGAAACTCTGCAGCTCTCTCCCTTCGATATATCCGCGACCTGAAATTGAAGGGCAACATTTTTTGTTACTTCGGTGGGGGGTGTGGGGGGGGGGTGTGGGGGGTGTGGGGTGATGTACAGTTGGAAAGGAACACCTTGTCGCCGACAGGTTAGGGCTCCGGCTTTCTGGACCGACTCCCCGCCCGTGTGTGTGTGTGTGTGAGAGAGAGAGATGACCCACCCGCCGCCCTCTGGTCCTGGTCGCCCAACACCCCCTCACAGCGCAGCTTCACAGCCCCCAACACACAGAACAAACCCCATCGGCGCGTCGCAGCCCCACGTCGTGCGAAACGAAAGAGATATCGAGCGTCAGGCAACAGGCAAAGGTTTACACACAGCGAACAGGTTGGGGGGAGAGGAGCGGTGAGGAGGGGAGAGGGGGGGAGAGGGGCGGTGGGGAGGGGAGAGGAGCGGTGAGGGGGGGAGAGGGGCGGTGGGGAGGGGAGAGGGGCGGTGAGGAGGGGAGAGGGGCGGTGTGGAGGGGAGAGGGGCGGTGAGGAGGGGAGGAGAGGTGAGGAGGGGAGAGGGGCGGTGAGGAGGGGAGAAGAGGTGAGGAGGGGAGAGGGGAGGTGAGGAGCGGTGAGGAGGTGAGGAGAGGAGGTGAGGAGGTGAGGAGAGGTGAGGAGCGGTGAGGAGGGGAGAGGAGGTGAGGAGGTGAGGAGAGGTGGGGAGGGGAGAGGAGGGGAGAGGGGCGGTGGGGAGGGGAGAGGAGCGGTGAGGAGGGGAGAGGAGGTGAGGAGAGGTGGGGAGGGTGGAGTGGGGGGCAATAAGAAAAACAGTTACCAGCGTTGTCGTAATGGTGCCAAATTTCCAAAAACTGCGTGGTGGAGTTTTCGATGGCTCTCAGGTGAAGGCTGTGCGTGTCTGCCATGGTTTGCCGGTGTGGGTTGCCGTGCCGTGCCGTGCCGTGCCGTGCCTGGCTGCCCTGTGTGGAGCTGTGGGGTTGGGGTGGGGTGGGGGTGGGCTGCCCGCTCGCTCTGTGCCTGTCAGCTTCACTCTGCGCTCCCCTGGCAGCGCGCACCACACATAAATGCCGCTCGCCGCCCACTACGCACGCGCCGCCGCCTGGCTCTGGGCATCTGCTGCAGGTGAGAGGGAGGGGCTGGGCTGGCAGGGCTGGGCTGGCAGGGCTGGGCTGGGCAGAGCTGGGCTGGGCTGGGCAGGGCTGGCAGGGCTGGCAGGGCTGGCAGGGCTGGCAGGGCTGGGCTGGCAGGGCTGGGCTGGGCTGGGCAGGGCTGGCAGGGCTGGGCAGGGCTGGCAGGGCTAGGCTGGGCAGGGCTGGGCTGGCAGGGCTGGGCAGGGCTGGCAGGGCTAGGCTGGGCTGGCAGGGCTGGGCTGGGCAGGGCTGGCAGGGCTAGGCTGGGCAGGGCTGGGCAGGGCTAGGCTGGGCAGGGCTGGGCAGGGCTGGGCTGGGCAGGGCTGGGCAGGGCTGGCAGGGCTGGGCAGGGCTAGGCTGGGCAGGGCTAGGCTGGGCAGGGCTGGGCAGGGCTGGGCTGGGCAGGGCTGGGCAGGGCTGGCAGGGCTAGGCTGGGCAGGGCTGGGCTGGGGAGATGGGCAGATGCGGGCACGGGGAAAGCCGAGCCATCGCACCGCAACCGGATTCAACCTGCGATCTCGTTACTTTATCTGCTCCTTGTGCTGCGGCGGAGAATCCCGTCATCGGCAATGGATGGCGCAGAGGCAAATCCTTGCAGTCTCATTTTAGACCAATAGTTGCATCCTATTGCATGTCAATAATACTAGTAGTAATAATCTTTTCCTTTCTCGGTGTGGCGCCTTTCGCGTCAGGCAGCCAATTGCTCACAGCAGTGTCCCACAAACGGTCATGGAAAACAGTCATGTAAACAGAGTAGTAGTAAAGAAACTTGCTTATGGTTTCACCCAACGATTTAGCATATCACCAGAAGAACAGCCACTCTGACAATGCAGTACTCCCCCAGCACTGCATTGGAGTATCAGTCCAGACTACGAGTCCAAATCCTGGTTTGGAATTTGAATCCATAATCTTCTGGCTCAGAGGCGAAAATGTATGCACAGTGTTCACAGCAGTCAGAGATGCACATATTTTGTTGCCTGCAGTATAATGTCTAGAAGAGCAAAGTCTTTTTGACTCATTGACTGCCATAAATATACAGAGGGGAAGGAGGCTAGAAACACTATTTGAACCCTTTACTAGATATGAAAAATGAAGGGTTTGATCTCTAATTTTGAAATATTAATAAATGGTATAGCCACTATATTAAAATTTCACCCACAAATATACAGTCAATTCACTTTACAGTGGAGTCCTGTAGCTCAGTGGTTAGAGCACTCGCTTTGCAAGCGAGAGACCTGAGTTCAATTCCAGGTAGAGGGCGAAACCTTGGGCAAGTTTCCTTACTCCACACAGAGCCTAATAATAATCCCTCCAAAAACCAAACACAATAATAAGTTGGTCATTTTCAATCTACGACTGTTTGCGGGACATTGCTGTGCGCAATTGGCTGCCGCGTTCGCCCACAAATATACAGTCAATTCATTTTACAGTGTGTTCTGTGAAGCGCTTTGGGACATCCTCCCGACGTGAAAAGCGCTATATCAAATGCAAGGATTATTATTATTAATCAAGTTAATTGTGTTTATACGTACATCCTGGGGATGTCTAAGTATCTCAGTAAGAAACCTTCAATTATATGTTCCAGTGGAGAGATGCTTATGGCAAATTTATCTGATCTCAAATTGTGAAGGCTTTCTTCCAATATAAATGTGAAAAAAATTCAAATTGTTGTTGTTGTATTTATAATGATAGAATGTTTTAGATCAGACACTTCATTAAAGGCAAGTTATTTTTCAGTGTAAACATTTCATTCTCCAGCCACTGTCTTCTATCTTTATCCATGAACATCACACAGGCCCCTGCACACTTATTTGGGATGCTGATTAGCCAATGAACACATAGACGAACAGACCAAAGATGCTGCTCCCACAATCTCATTCAGTAAGTCTTACCTAGTTTTCAAAAAATAGCATTTTTNATTAACTTGTCTTATGACTAAGAACATAAATTGCAGCCAACAGATAATTCTGAACTAAATGTATACTTATACATATTGAGTCTGAATCTGTACCACTTAAATCTTACTTTAAACTTTTGTCAGGTACAAATATCTAACTCAGCAGTATGTAGTATTTACCTTCAATACAATGTTTAATGAACAATGGATAGACATCCACTAGTCATAGTACACAAAGACATTTCAAATGTGAATGTCTTAAGAATAGAATCATAGAATTACACAGCATGGAAGGAGGCCATTCGGCCCATCGTGTCTGTGCCGGCTCTTTGAAAAGAGCTATCCAAATCACTCACACTCTCTCCCCATAGCCCTGCAAACTTGTCCTCCCCAAATAAGTATCTATCCTCCCCAAATAATTATCTGGGGATAATGGATATGATACTTGCCTTCATTGGGATTTTGCAATGAACATTTTACAGTAATTTATGCTGTTGTCAATCAATCTAGTTTCCCTTTTTAGTTTAAAAATGTATAAAGCCAAGTAACATCATGAATGTATCAAATAGCCTTAAATCCAGTTCAAAAAATGAGTACAATTTCTTCATCACAACTGTTGTTATGAAGGATAGCTTTACCACTGAGGCACAGCTTTGTTTGGATTGTATTGGAATTTACTTGTTATGGGAAGCCAACTCACTGATGGCAAAAGCACATTAAACTTGTTTTCTACAAGTTGGAAAGAGTGGGAGGTTCAATAAATCAGTGAGTATTTATTTTTAATACGAAAATTTTAAAACCACCGTCTACAATTTTGCTTTGCCCAAGGCACGAGCATTACGTTGTACAACAGAGACTCTCCATCAAGTCTAATGAGATGCCCAAGTCATTTAAAACTATTCTTCTACAAACGAAAGTGAAACTCACACATCAGTGAATTATTGTAACAGTTTTAAAAGTGCAAAAGGAAAAAAGTGTTATGCTTAACAATATCGCCATCCATCAAATAATATAAAATAATTATTAGCAATGATCTGTTGCTAATAATTTAGAAGACTGTTAGCAGAAAGTAATGAATGTTTTTTCATACAGTCAATAGGTATGAGTTCTCTGGTGTATATCATCATTTAAGAATATAGAGGTAATCCATAATTTAAATGTTGGACAAAATCTTATGCTTTGTGTCTTTAAAACAATAATAACTAAGGTATAACATATGGCAACCTTCATGTGGCATAAAGTCTCAGAATGCTTCACAAATATACATAGTGGGGGAGGTATTGAGCGAGCAGGGAAAGGGAACTTTAAGTATATATATATATATTTTCAAACATATTATGCAATTGTTGTCTGATCTGTTTATTTCAATCCACTGTTATGCCCAATAATTCATAATATAAAATGAATGTTTAATCTCATGGTTGTTGGTGGAGTGTTACTGTCACCAAATTGTTGTCAAATATGCAAACATAGAACTGTCACTGCACTTAACAGTAATTACTGTAAAGAAATAAATTAATATAAAAATCAAGTTCAAAATTATGTTAATTTATCTAATCTCATGGCATGAAGTGTCTAAAATTGGTCCGTTGTAGCATGATCTTAAGACAATGAAAGATTATGCAGAGTGACATAGTGTCATGGAGAATGATAAAATATTCCGAAGTAATTGAAAGAAAAAGGTCTGACTGACTGATCAGAAAGTATTGTTCTTTGGTCAAGCACTTTAAAACATTAAGTCTATCCTGAAAAAGTCTTCAAAATCTCAAAGAGTATCGTACATATAGAACACTATATAACATTATATTGTATTAGACATAATCTGACTTTCATAAATTAATGTTGACAAACATTTGTTCTCTTCTACTTGTTAAATACTCTTTGTTTGCTTCTTTTATAACAGATTCCAATTTTAAAATCTTTGTAAGTAAAATATATTATTGTCTGTATTGCCTTGCAGTAAGGTTCATTATCATTAATTAAGATGTGGAAAGCAAACTTCTTTAAACAAGCCAAGAAAAATGGGCTTCTTGCCAAGTACCTTAAATAGCGACAACAGTGCTGTCAGTTTTGATATCAAGGTATGCAAAACTATATACAGGATTGTAGTTATTATCACAATCTCAGGAAGCTCGTCTCTTACAATTAAATGCCATTCATTTCAATTTGAATTGCTTCTTCTCAGTTTTTTTTACTCTCTAATTATTAATAACGATACCTTTTCATATAGCGCCCAATCATGTCATCTAAACATCAAAAAGCATTCAACCACTATGTATTTGTAGGTGAATGATGCAGACAATTTCTTATGTTCTTTTTGTTGAATGCCATTTCTGTGCTCTTGACTTTAGGGCTTATAACCTTTACATTTTACAGGATTTCAAAAGAGTATCTGCATGTTGTTTCCACAGCAAAAACAGAAAATAATCTAAAAAAAATTAAGCACAAAGATTACACGATCATACAATAAATTTTAAATAGTCCTTAACAAATAATTGGTTTAAAGAGTATAATTATTAATGTTGCTGCATAATAAAATGTTGCCCTTACTGCTATTCTTACACAAGATGATAAATCACGTGGCAGAAAAGGCCATTTCAACTCTGGGAAGCTTAAGTGAACATGATATCATAGACACTTGTTGCCACGGGATACCTTACACATTGAAATAACAAAATGAACATCAACCACAATCTTGCAGAAAATATTCCTTGCATATATTCTTCAGAGATTTTATTTCAAGATTGCCCAATGCACAAAACTATACAGTATACCTGATAAATATTACTGCTTGTTTGGTTCTCAGATATTGTTATGGTGGCATGATCCTTATTTCTAATACATTTAACTACCATGTTCAGATAACATGCAGTTAATGTGACAAGCCTTAATGAGACAATTAAAAACAGATCATGCTCAATAATTTGGACTTCGTTCCCTAATTATCCTTATTATTTGATTTTCAAAGAACCACATTTTAATTGATGCTTATATATTTTCAAGTAGAATAACA